ATATTTAATTTTCAAAATATCAAAATATTGAAAAAATTCAACTTTGGGACGTATAAATCTCTACTTTTAGATGATTATATGAAATTTTACATATACTAAAATTATATTTAGTTACATGTAAATGGTGTTATTTATTTTTTTTAAAAAAATATAAACTTATAGGAATGGATACGAGACGGGAACATATAATTCGAAAACAAATATTATCTGAATTATTTCTCATAAAAAAAGTAAAATATGATTAGATATAAATATTATGAGACACGGTCATAAAGTTAAATTCAATTTAAACTTTCAAATATAAAACTACGAGTACGATACGGGGACATGTAATTTAAATTGCTAAATTTAATTTCCACTTTCCTATTTATTTCAAATATTTAGACATGAAATGACGGGTACAAGAAGATAACGTATACTTCTGATAACAAAACTACAATAAATCCATGAAAAAAATAGAAATACCTAAATCTTTAGAAAACAAAAAGGCTAAACATGAATCTTTGAATTGAAAAAAGTAATGAGAAATAAAGATGAAACTGAAAGATCAATAAAATTAAAAATCGAACAAGGATTGTGTATGCTAGGATTACAGAGAGTGCCTTGTGAATGAAAATGGTGGGAGCATGTGACTTAGATTGATAATTAGATTTTTATTAGTTTGATAAAAGTAAATATTTAAACGAGGAATACGGGTATCTTGTCTAAATCTTTTACCAAGTTTCTTATAATAAACATTGGCAAATAATTATGTGTTAAAAAGAAACGATTATGGGACAGAAATTTTATGACAGATAGAATACGGGACGGGACGGGACGGGACGGGGCGGGGTGGGACGGAACGGGTCAGGACGAGACGGAAAGGGACAGGACGGGTTTTCCATTCTAAACTACACATAAAACAATTCAAACTAAAGCCATACTCAAATCCGATTTAACATCTCTAAGCAAACAGTTAGAAATGTTTTGATTAGTTTAAAAAATAAACACGTAATATGATTTATCATTTTCATTTAAATAATTTTAAAATTGTATTATATAATATAATATCTATATTTTACAATTGTATGTCTATATATAGTTTATCAAATAAACTCATATAACAAAATTTTACCAAAATAGCATCTACTTAAAAAATTGTAATTTTGTAAAAATAACCCCGCACGTACGTGCGGGTCCATCACTAGTTAATAAGAAAAAGAAGTCTGTAGTAATTACTAACTAATTGGTTGATCCAAAAAAAATCATTAACTAATTGAATTATTTATAAATTTAGTAGATATCCATTTTTAGGAAATATTTCTTATTTTATAGTTAATGTATATATATTTTAGGGAATATACCATTAGTTTGTTATGAGAATTAACTTTAATGATATATTTGTAAAATATTGTCAACTGTTTTAATTTAGTAGTTAATGAGGTACAGAAATATTTGAAATCTTGAAAAAATAACGATCAAACTATTTCAATGTAATTAAACTTTTATTTTTATTTTTGGATAGTTTGTATATTTGAAATCGCATTATAATAATTGAATTCAATATCTTTTTAATTGTTGATTGGTTATATCAAGTGCTAGTTATTAGGGTGATCGGATTAATTCTGTATTTCTGAATAATTTTTTAAAAATTAGGTTTTGATTTTCTTAAAAGGAAAAACGGAAGTATATCATATCTAATCAATATATTTCAAATTCTTTTATTTTTTGTGCTATATTTTTGAGATTTTTTTTTTATATGATGAATTTATGTGAAAATAAGAGATTATATGTGATATATAATGTTTTACATGATTTGAGGAAACAATTTTTTAATTATTAATTTAATTAAGTTTTTTTCTTTAAATCTTTTTAATTAGTTATTTAAGACTATCTTTTAAAATATTTGATGATATAATTAATTATGTTGTATATTTCTCCACATTTGTTTTATAATCAAACATATTTTTCATAAATATAAATTATTGTTTAAATAAATTATTCTAAAATATATACTTAATATTAAATATGTTTACATATGTTTAATTTCGAATTTAATTGTCAAATTTTTATGGTAATAAAATTAATATGATTTCCATAAATATAGATAGTTTTAGTTTTTTATTTTTTATTTATTTAATTAAACATTTTTGCTGTCTTTTAGTGTGTTTGGTTACATGGTTGGGATTATATATTTTGTAATATTTTTTTTTCAAGTTTGTTTGGCAACAAAGACAAATAATGCTCCCCAATTAATAGTATAGATTTCATAAATACCGTATAAATACCTTTTAAAAACCTTTTAAAAACCATTTAAAAACCTTATAAAAACTGTGTAAACCTTTTAAAACCCTTATAAAAACATTATAAATGCCGTTTAGAACCTTTTAAAACCTTATAAATATTTGGATTTAGTCTCCCATTAGTAATGATGACCTCGATATACCTTTTTAACCATATAAAAGTTTATAATTTTTCATATTTGAAAAGGGGTATTTTTGAAAATGGATAGAAAAGATGGGTATTTTTAAAAAGGGGTACACCAAAAGGGGTATTTCTCAAAAATTCTCTATATTTAAAGACACAAATTATCTTTATATGTGTGTAAATTTACATATATATTTCATAAATACCGTATAAATACCTTTTAAAAATCATTTAAAAACCTTATAAAAACCTTGTAAACCTTTTAAAACCTTATAAAAATCTTATAAATGCCGTTTATAACCTTTTAAAACCTTATAAATATTTGGATTTAGTCTCCCAGTAGTAATGATGATCTTGATGTACCTTATCAACCATATAAAAGTTTATAATTTTTCATATTTAAAAAGGGGTATTTTTGAAAATAGATAGAAAAGATGGATATTTTTAAAAAGGGGTATTTGAAAAGAGGGGTATTTATAAAAAGGGGTAGACCAAAAGAGGCATTTCTCAAAAATTCTCTTAAATATAAGCTTACACATAGATTTTTGATAAATTTCGAAATTTATAGTGATTTTTTGATAAAATTAGAAAGAGGAGTATTTTTAAAAAGTGGTATTTGAAAAGGGGTATTTTTGAAATTCCCCCAATATATAATCAAACTCTTATAAGTTACAATGATATCTTAATTAAGCTTTTAAATACAAGAACATTAAATAATAAAACAAGGAAAATATTGAGGGCATCAGATATGGTGGAGGAAGATATAAGAATAGGTATTTATAGGATAACATATTATGTAAGTTACAATTCTAAAATAATTAAATTAGAGGAGTTATAATTATAATTTATAATGTGTTAATTGAAATTGAATGGAGGAAACAAATAGTCAATTCACAAGTTATATAATTTCAGTTACAATTTAGTAGTAAAGTGTGGATTTCAAGTATGAATTAAAGTATATAATTAAATGTGTTAGATATTTGGTTTAATTAAAAATAAATATTATAATTAAAAAAGAAATGCTAAATAGACCAATAAGGAGAAAGTGAAACCTTAAAAATTCCCAATGAATAATTTTATTTTTTAATCTCTTTTTATATTCCACTTAATTTAAGTTATATCTCTTGGTTTAATTATATTTTTCATCCTTGTAGTATATATAATAGATAGAAAATTGAATATACAATTGTTTTTTAGATAGAAAATCAAGTATAAAATTCAAAGTTAACAAAAATTATAATATTCTATATATTATTAAAATTTAAATATTTTAAGATGCCAAGCTACCGACTCACTCTCTTCAATCCAAATAATATAATTAATTTCATTATCATCTCTCAGTAATATCTTTTATTTAATTTATAATCACGACACACCTTAGTCCATCTTTTTTTTTTTACTCTTTCGTTGAATTCATTACCATCTTTCTATAGTGTGTTATGTCTCAATGTACTTCCCTAAACGATTTATATTATACATACATGATTACTAATTTCAGCAAAAGAGAATCAAAATAAACAAATACTGTACCTATGAATCTATGATGACCGATGATTCCATCCCAAACTCATACTTCCATATTTTAAAATTCAAATTTTATTAAACAGTTGTTATTATTGAACGCCATGTCCGGGTCTGTCCAATAACAGAGCGCCATGTCCGGGTTCGTCCAATAACAGAAAATGCTAAGCATTTACTTTTCAAGGCTGAGGGAAAAATCGTCTAATAACTCTTCAATGTGGCATGTTTTGAAAGGTGTTTTTGATAATGACCGTTTAAAAATTTTGAGTTTACAAAATAGCACAGCCTATAATATTCCCTTGCATCATTCTTTTTTTTTTAGCGTTGGATGATTCGATTAATAAGAAGAAATAGTTCGATACAACAAGAAAACATGATAAAACCATAAACCGAAAATTAAAAGCCACGCTTTTTGTCTCTTTCGATGCGGTTTTGTAACCAAGACGGGTCTACTTGAGCCATGCATGAAGTCAGCCGCCCATCACGTCTAACACTACAAGTGTGTGTTAGGTGAGAAAGGAGAGACTTGCTCTCTCACACTAAACTAACTAATCCACATACATATGACCCATACTTGCCATGTCATTCATTTTTGTTTTGGTCATTTTACTAATCGACAATCATTATATTGTCAATCACCATGATGGTCTTTGTCCTCATTATCTTGTTGCCAAATTAAATTACATGTCTCAATCCAGAAACCAGGTGTCCATGTAAATTAAATTATATTGTCTTTGTCATTCGGATTCAAATTGATATCCTTCTCTTCCCCCTTGCTCCCAAATTTGTCTTATCAAATTTTTATTTCTTGTCTTTACATCATCAATGCATGTACAATCAGATTGGTTTCTAATTCGGATATTTGCTAGCAAAGTCCTCCAAAATTTTGGTTTGATTATATAAAAAAAAAAAAAAAAAATGAAAAAGCAAGACAAATATTTTAAAGTTTTGGCATAAAATAGCAGGTGTCTTATTAGAAACCAAAATCCAATAACAACACAAAAAAACATAACAGCACTACGATAGACTAGACAATGAAGAACCATCACAAAACTAACCAAAAAGAAAACTAACTAAAGACATCTCTCGATATCTTCTTGAATCAGTCTTACTATATTCTTCCCATACCCAATCTTCATCGTACAAAAGTAAGGTCTTAGCTTCTCAATAAACTCTCTCAACAATGGAGTCATTCCTTCCTCCTTCATCACTTTCAACGCACACTGTGCCACAAAGTTGCCAAACTTGTCATTGGCCATTCTCACCCATTCTTGATCATTCCCTCTAAACTCCTCCAACACTATCTCTCTCGCAAAACACGACTTGAGACACTTCTCCACCACATAGCTTCCTTGTCTCTCCTTGGCCAACCTGAAGAAACATCCACAGAGCCTCTCCGCGATTGCGGCTGTTGCACCCGGGTTCTCAAGTGTCAGAAAGTTCTGAACAACGTGTGTTCCGTAGTGATCAAAAGATAACCAGTCCGCGTTCTTGGCGACTCGCTTGAAGATTAGGTCTCTGTATTTGCCTCTGATCTCTTGAAACACCTCGTTTAGGGCAAGGCAACCGGTTTCTACCCTGGCGAGGTCTAGAGTGCATTCGTAAGTGAGCTTTGTAGAGCGTCTCTTTCTTGGTTTTATCGACGACTCGTATAGCCGAGTTGATCAAGCCACGACTGTACTTACTGGTCATGAGCGAGAAGAAGTTCATAGAGACAGAGAGGAATATGAGATGGTCTAAGGCAGGGCTGCGTCTAAAGAGGGTTCGTAAAGCATGCGAGCCGCTTTGGTTCGTAGCCAAGTCAAGAAAAGCGCAGTTGTTTGTGGTTAACAATGATCCTATCTCAAACAAGTGGCTCTCCCTCTCAGCCGTTGGATACGTATCGAGACGTTGGAGGAACTTTTGGAACTCACAGGAACGTTCTGAACACGTCGTCATGCCCAACAGTCCTGATAGAACGTTATGATCTTTGCCATAGAGATCCATATTCTTGAAAGCGGTGAAAACAAGATCATCGTTGTCCTTGTCGTTAGGCATAGGGTTTTTGCCATTGTCGTTCGACATAGCTTGGATTGCAAGAAAACAAAGAATGCGATCTGTTAAAGAAGGCTCGAGCGTTAAAAGAAGAGATTGTGTGTTGCAGAAGTGTTTGCGAGGGTTTGTTATATAAAGAAGAGGAGATTGTGTGTTTGGAGATGGAATAGGAATCGCTGGAGCTTTGATCTTAAGTCATATCGGATTTGGAGATACTACTTTGGAAAGCTCTTCCTTTTCCGGTAAGGATTCGAAATATAAAATTCGCGTAGTACTGTATCTTCGTTTTATATACTAGCTTCCAGAGTTAATAAACGGGAAAAAAATACCTAACTACACGAAATATGCTACAATACATGGTCACACATTCGAAGTTTTAAAATATATCCCTAACTACACAAACTGTATGCATCGTATGCCCACATATACGAACTGTATATAGTCTTGTCGCCAACATCAAAATACTTTTTTCCGGTACATTTTTCGCCGGAATCCAGCGTTGACCAGTTTGACCGGCATTGACCAACATTAATATTCAAAATTTTTTTTAGTTTTTTACTTTTTAGAAAATTATGTTATTGAATCATTTATAATATTGTATAATTAAAAAATATATACAATTTTTAATATAAAAATATTTTGTATATATATATTCAATGCATTGATTTTTATAATTAGTTAGTTTCGATAATTTCAAAACTAAACTTAAAAAAAACCAATTAGGAAAAATAATTAAAAACAGAAAATTTTTCTATTTTTTCTCCATTGAATATATATACAAAATATTTTTATATTGAATATTGTATATATTTTTTTTAATTATACAATATTATAAATGATTTAATAACATAATTTTCTAAATATTAAAAAAATAATTTTTTTTTTTTGAATATTTATGTTGGTCAACGCCGGTTAAACTGGTCAACGCCGGATTCCGGCTAAAAATGTACCGGAAAAAAATGTTCGTGATGTTAATGACATGACGACGACGTATAGTTCTTGATTTCTTTTTGCATTCGAAATATATAAACATTTTGACGGCAGATAAAAAAGGTATATTAACTGAATCATTATCCTGAGTACTCTGTATTGTGTATTGAAGGCCAAAATGAGACATTTACTCTATGATTTAGGATAACAAGCGAATGGAAGAAAACAGATTTGAAGTTGAGAAATTTCATGAAGTTAAACATGCTGCAGAGGAGTATAACGTAGAAACAGAACACTGGGAAAAATTTATTACTCGATTTAACCTCTTCAAAATGGTCGGAGAACAAAGTAAAGCAAACAAACATAGCCTTAAAAAGCCTAATATCCAAAAACAGGTGTGAAATCTTTGCCTTCTCAAGACAGAGTTTGACAAATGTTTCTTGTCTCAGTCTCTTTATTAATCTTGCTCATATCAAAGACACTCTTACAGGAGACTTTGGCGGCTTCATCGAAAGAACTTTGGGGAAGGTATTTTTAATGGGTCAGGAGTGAGTGAGTACTCTTGATAGTATGGTAAATAGCGGCTAATGCAGTAACCGAGGTGATGATTGGAAGTTGCTGTTGTGTATGGTAAAGGACTTGGTAGAAGCTAGGGTAGGAGAGGCAAATCATACCCATTTTCAGGTAGAGAAGGTAGCCAGCGAAAGTGACTCCGGTCAAGTAAACCCCTGAGATTCTGTTGAAGATCGATAACATTGAGTTCATCTGAGGCTGATAAACGGGAAGGTGAGGAGATAAAGGGCGAAAGCTTTTGGTTTTCGGTTCCTCGTATGTTGTCTTTATATCCCCTGAGATTGTAGAGAACAAGCGTCTCGATGTTCCCACATCAAGAGCTCGGAAAGATCGAGTCAATTGAGCTCCAACAGTTACAGTTTCAGTAGCTTTTGACTGCTGGAAAAATCGAGACAATGATCACCAGGCAAAAAGTATAAGTTAAGCTGCTCTTAAACATGACAAAAAGTAAAGCAACCAACAAAACATGGACAAAGTCCTCCTACCTCTCTTTCCTCTCTAATGTCATTGCTTGTGTTGTTAGTGCCCAAACCAGTACCAAGAATGTCATTCACAACAGGTTTCGACCTATGATAGAAAACAGAACATAGTAAAAAAGATATCTAATAGGTAGGTATTTAGCATCATCAAGAAACAAAAGAGACGTACCCAAAAGCTCTATACAAACTTGCATAGTTTTGACCGGGACATGAACTACCCAATGAAGGCTGAGCGTTACCAGCAAGCTGCAAAACAAGAACGTTTCAAGAGCAGTTAAGACAAACACTTACTCTACGCAAATACATTTGAATACAGAGCTAGCCCTCTTCTCTTCTTCATCCCATATTAAACTCAAATTACAAGCTTTTCAATTAAACCAGAAGCACAACTCTCAGATATTGCTAACACTCTCGCCATTATTAGTTCATTTGTCTTCTTCCTAACAGTCTCAAGATTTGCGTCTACTTACACAAACGCAGGCACACACAACAAATCTCATGTTCTCAAATTTTTGTGTATATGAGATGAAATCATGAAGAAGCAAAGACAGAAACTAAACGAGATTCCACAAACACCAAATTTCAATAAGAATAAGTCAAATCGGATCATGTAGTTAGAAACTCTGATATCGTTTACAGATCTTGTAAAGAAAGAAAGACTTACGAATTTGTAAGCTGAGAAAGGAGCGGACGCGACTTCTCGGCGTCGGATTGAGCGGAGGAGAGCTGCTGTAGCCATGGTTTTTTTTCGAAATTCAAGAGCTGCTCGATCAGAGTTTAAGGAAGACGCAAAATGATGCGGATGAAATCGAAAGCTGTTTACTAGAGAAAGATGGAAGCTTTTTAGACGGTGATACTTGTCGACGTCGATGCCCAAATATAATTTGCTTAACCTCGGCAAACAATGTCGTTAACTCATAAAGCGAAAAGACCAAGCACAAGGAGGTGATGTTGCCAAGGCCTGGGCAAAATACCCGGACCCAAAAATTCGATCCGAATCTGATCCGAACCCGAATCCGAAACCTAGAAATATCCGAACGGGTTCTATATCTCTAAACCCGAAAATTCGAACTCAAACCTGAACTGAACCGAAACCCGAACGGATATCCGAATACACCCATAATATAAATATATAATAATAATTTATTAATAATATATATCTATTTGTAATAGTCTAAAGTAAAAGATATCCAGCTTTTGTATATTTTGATTGTTATAGAGTTATTAACTTTTTAAAAAATAAATTTTAGTAAAAATTTATGTAGGTTTTGCAATTTTTTTTAGTTGTTTGGACATATTTGGATACTCAAATTTTGAATTTTGAGAATTTCAGGTAATCTGAATCCGAACTCGAAATACCCGATCTGAATTCGAAATCTAGATATACTTGAACATGGTTTATATCTTTAAACCCGAAAATCTAAAATACCCGATCTGAACCCGAGCGGGTACCCAAACGTCCAGGCCTAGTTGCCACATGGAAGAAGGAAAATACTTGAATCCCTATATTAGTAAAAGAGAAGTACAAAATAAAATACGGGTCGGATCAAAGTTCAAAAATTAATCCAGTTTCATCAATTGGATAATTCAAAATTGGATATTTAATTGGGTTTGAATACATACATCAGATACTTCCCATATCTAATTTTTAGATTGTATTATTTCCATAACTAATTATAGGATTTCCTAATATTTTTCTAACTAATTTAATATAATCTTTTTAAAAATTATTATTCTTATTTCACTTTTATTTGATCTTATTTTAATTTATGATATTATACTATATAATATAAATATATAATAATAAATTAACTTTTTTGCATATGTTGCAATTTGAATTTTTCAAAACGGACATATAATACTCAACTACACTCGGTTAAATAATTTGGACAATGGTTTAAAATCATTATAAGTATGACCAATATTAAAACCATTGTTACATGAGCATATTTAAATTTTCAAAAAGTATCAAAATTCTACAATATTTTTTGGAGACATAAATGTAATTTTGGAGACATCATTTTTATTGATAAAATATATTATATATCAAACTATGTACATTTTAGATAGTTCACGGATAGTTTGTTAAAATCACAATTATAATGATAAAGCGAGTTATGAATAATGTTTTTTACAAAATGAATTATGTTACGGGTTGGTCCTTCAAAACATATATTATAAATATGTAATTTTTAAGTATATTCCTACTTCTACTACAAAAATGGTCAAAATGAAAATTTATCAACAAATATTATTTCGTGCTGTTAAATTTTTACTGTGTTTTTAATTGTATCAAAACTCAATATATGATTATTTACTCGATTTTTTCCTTTATTGTTTTATTTAAATTTATTATACATATATATAATTTACCGTAATCGACTGCATTGCAATAAAATTAAAATCTAACATATTATAATCTGTTAAAAGTTAGATATATGTAATTATTCCAGTTCGAACCTACTTTGCAGGTAAAGTCAATTTTTATAGAGTATTGACTACAAATATAACGTTTAGGAAGTATGAGGAGATGAATTGCAATTTGTTTTATAAAATTAGTTCGATCGAAGTATAAAGTGTTATTAGACATTTACACTTCTTGAATTTTAGGCCGTTCGATCTCACCGCCTCATGCGTAGCGGTGCCTAGACCAAACTTAACCAAAATTTATTACCAAAGAGTTATCCAAAATGCTATTCGGTTTATGTACAACGAACAAAACCGGCTCAAGAAAGGAAATGAGTGCTTCGTTGATCCTTCTTTAAAACAACCCTCTCTGATGACCAAACTTGTCACTGGAGTCTTGAATTTGGCGTCTAATTTCAGAGACTTGGCCTTTAGATTGGTCGCAGACGCAGAGGAGTGTTTTCATGGTGGATTCGTCGAAATCCATTGATTATATTCATCCATTCTTATGATAAATGAGCTTGAACTAGATGTTCCACCTCCTCCATAAGCCTTTTTCCAAATTATAAACACATGACATATAAGTCTAACTGATCCAATTGAAAACAAGAAGTTACAGTCATTTTTTAAAAAACAAACAAACCTTGGCAACTTCAGATGTATCAGTTATATCATCAGTACTTCTCAAGCACATTTTCAGATTGTTCCTTTGCATATATGTAACAGCTCCTATTGGCCTGATATCAAAGAGATGTTACCACTTTTCTAATTTTTATTACAAGCAAAAAGCGTCATAAGGAAATTAAATTAACCTTAGACCAGCTACAGAACTTTGTAGACTAAGTAACTTGCCAAGTTCATCACTTAGTTGAGTGTTACCATCTGCGCGAATCCCCTATGAATAAAACAAAATCTAGTCTGTCTCAATCAATGATTTTCAAACAAAAAGAGGATTTTGATGGGACAAAAGAGAAAACTAATTACCAAACACTCTCCATATAGCCCTCTTCCCAATCTGATCTTGGAAACCTTATTCAACTTTAGCACTTTCTTTGCATCAGTAAGCCGAGATGAAAGATATGAATTCCCATAAGCAATGAGATCCTCCGAACTCATTTTTAACAACTGTAATATAGAGACACGAAATCATTCACTGATATATGGTATAAGGACATGCTCGGATTCAAGATTACTGATTCACAACGAGGAAGAATATGTAGAGGCAAAGTATCCCAAAAAAAAAATCGAAATGAAGCATCAGATATTCAGACCTGTTCGTACATGTAAGGATTGGTGATACAATTGATCCTTGAACGCCAATCCTGGAGACCGAAGCTGAAAGCTTTGATATCTGGTAACCTCCATCGTCGAAGATCAATATCTTCAATGTAATCAAGAACTGATTCAATCCGAGCTTCGTCTTCTACACTTAGCAAAATAGGAGCTTCTACCTAGCCAATACATAAAAATATACATGACTCTTGTGTAAATACTAATCAAAGCAAAGTCCATTACTCATCATCATTGTCCTGACTAACCTCGGAAGATGTTTGATCTATGAGTTTACTGGAGAAGTACTTGTACACAGCCTTTGAGCTACTCACTTCAGTATCAACTTTAATCTTAAGCCTCTTCTTATGCTCTTCCTTTATCGAGCCAATCCTTGTAAATGCCGAGTTCCGATGATCAAAACATATGATCCTAAAACCCAAAAGAACAAAATTAAACCGCAAAGGAGTTTAATTTTTGAACCAAAATAGTTGTAAAAATAACAACATCTCACTGAACTTAACCATACTCGCAAGCTGTACTCCGGCAAGCAAAGTCTTTTGAAACAGCAAAATCGAGCAGATAACACCTCTTGAACCCCTCCAAACACAGATCCTCAACCCTAAAAGATTTACCAGTAACATCATACAATAAACCTGAAAACTTATTGAGTCATTTGGTGAGAAATGTTTACCTAAAGGGTACGATGGAAGAATAGGGTAAGATGAGACAGGGAAGAAGGAGGCGAGAGTGGTAGCGATGAGCGAAGAGAGCAGAAAATGCGCCGGAGAAAGAAGGATAATTGTATAGCACTAAGTTTGGTACTTTCTCTTCCAACGCATTAGCTATGGCTTCGAGCGCCGCATCAGATCGAAAACTCCGGTTAGCTTCGAATCGAGGTTTATAAGAGTAAGAAACCGCCGGCAAAACTCTCCCGGAGAATCGCCGGAAAATCATCAAGTGCTGAGATTTTGGTAAGGTTGACGAGTGAGATACTGAAGGAAGCGGAGATAATTGGATTAATTGCATTGAACAGCTTAAAGTTTATAAATATTCTCAATTTCGCCCTTTTGTTTGTTATATTCTTTCAAAACTCCTATAAGGCTATAATGTTCTTCTCTTTTGACATCAAATCCCAAACAAACAAAAAATAAAACGCCTTAAATAAAACCATGACAAAAATCCATCTGTTTATGATAAGAAACATGACAAGAAATATTAGTTGGCTAACTCACTTGGCTAACACATGACAAACAAAACAATAGGAGATTGATTAGTTAATCTTGTTAACTGAAAATGTTAAACTACAAAAATATTAGTTAACAAGTGGTAGCTAGTTAAAGAAATCTTCATAATAACTAGTATGCATAAAGAGTTTCACGTTTTTGGAAGGCAAGTGTTAATTAGTTTAAAAAATTGTTAACTAGATTGCATAAGTTCGAAACCAAATGTTAAACACCAAACGAGTGTAGAGTTGGTCATGCATACGTTACTAATTACTTATCTTGATATTATCATAACGACGTTGATCTTCAGCCATGTGTTGGAGGAAATCCTGGCTGAAAATAACAATTCAAATCATTGAGTTAACACACTTGGACAAAACACAGTTGAACACAATTCAACACAATGTGAAACCGAGACAGAACCTGTGTTTTAAATGGCGCGAGGCGAGGTAAGGCGATGAAGGGCTGGTTTGAGCCCTGAGCCTAGGTGCACTTCGCTCCGAACCTTTGGTATCTGAGGCGCAACTAGACAAGAAAACATGAGGTTAGTTATATTCATTGATCTCTAAACCATGTGTGAGTTTAAAACCATGTAAGAAGGAATAAAAAATGTGGATTATCATTTAAAGAAGAGAGAAAGAGCAATAGTTAAAGCCATAAGTCTGAAACAGAGAATAAAAGAAAAACTATTGTGAGAACTGAGAAGATGAAAGAAACTGAGACAAGTAACCAAAAGCACAAATACACAAGCTAGCCTGGGAGAAGTGATTTCGAAGCTGAGACAGAGCCCAGAGTCCAATCAAAGGTAAGACCAACCAAGGCGGCGAGACCACTTTTGAATCACACAGACCATTATCCTCTCAAACCAACACTTTTCCTTCTTGTTGTAATCAGACCGTAATCAAACTAAAAACCCTAGACTTTCAGAAATGTTTCAACTCAGGGGCTGTGCTGCTAGGTTGTCGTATACCATCGAAGTACACTAGTCCCCACCCGGTTTAATGTCGATGGTATACGACATAGGTTATAAAAAATTGAATCATCAGAGAGCGGAGAAACAAACTGATTCAACATGAAAAGAGGGCAGCACAATCTCAAATTCCAAACAAACACAAAGCCCAGAGAGAAAGGGAGATAGAACAACTCACACGATGAGAAAGCTCCGTGCTTGAAATTGGTTTATCTTTCAGGAGAATCAACCTAAATGCAAGAGCGACATTTGAATCAAACTGAAGATCGCCCAAATTGGAAAAATTGATTTGATTTACACAAGTCAAGAAGAAAACCCAGTTCGGGACTTAACTCACGGTGCAATGTGATGATAGTGGGCAAGAGAAAGAGAGAGACAAAGGAAGAAACTTACCGTGTAAAAGGAAATTAAAGGGCGAGTGCAGATTCGAGATTCGTATCGGTTCTTGGCAGCGAAGAAGACGAAAGATTTGATATAGAGGACGATGATGAATGATGAATGATGAATGATGAATGAGAAGAAAAAACAGAACCGGGTGGTGAAATCGGGGCTGTGTCCTTAATACCTAGTCGGTGGTGCCTTTCATGCTCGAGGAGCTGATTTTTTTTAGTAACCACGGTCTATCCGTTGGGCTTTTAGAGGAGTGTCTATATTTTTTAGGCCATGAATGGAACGAGATTTCAAAATAGATTTTAGCTTTTAGTTTTTGTATTTTAGTTTTTAGTTTCTAAATAGGATAATTGGTTTCTGGTTTTTGTTAAAAAGAAAAGATAAAAAAGAAAAATTGAAAAATGAAAGAAAATATATTGACGTTGAAAGAAACCATCAAAATGGGTTTTTGGTTTTTCTTTGAAAATGAGTAAAATCTCGTAGAAAGTAGATTTCCTATTTTTTAGGAAAACCAATTTTGTAAAATCTTGAATGGCAACAAATTAGATTTTTAGAAAAACTAAAACCAAAAGCTAATTAAAAACTAGTAGTCACTTTGAACGGCAACAAGTTTCTTCACTTTGAACGTTTGGAGTGACTACTGGTGTTTGTTCTTACTGTGGTTAAGTATGGAATACGCACTTGACAAAGCTTTACAAGAAATGACGTTAGAGGAAGAGAGACCAATCATATTAAAAAATCTTCCTCAATTCAGTTCTTGTGAAAGGAACGTTTGCAGCAGTATTGGGCGTCTCTTATGCCCAGAAAATCAGAAAATGTCGAAGGTTATCCATGATATGCCAAGGCTGTGGCGTGTGTACAATAGGGTCCGAGGCATAGCTTTGCCTAATGATCGGTTTCAATTCATCTTTGATTCGGAAACTGATCTGTCTATGGTTTTGAATTCTGGTGCTTGGACGTATAATGACTGGAGCATGACCTTGGAGAGATGGGTTGAGAAACCGCCTTCAAACTACTTAAAGGTATTGCCGATTTGGTTACGTCTTTGTAACATTCCGGTGAATCATAACACAGCGGCGACTGTGAGAGAAATTGCTGAATACATTGGTCAGGTTACCGATGTGGCCTTTGGTCCGTTGAAACCTCAGAGTAAGAGATATGTTCGTGTGAGAGTTTTGTTCGATGTCAATAGGCCATTGCGAAACACCTGGGCACTACAGATTCCATCAGGAGAGACTGTTACTATTGGGATTGAATACGAACGTATTCGCAGAAGATGTTATCAATGTCAGAGGTTAACTCATGACAAGGATCGTTGTCCATTTAACCCCTCAAACCGACAAGCAATTGCTACGGGAGGTGTTAAACCGGCAGCGATAATTCCATCAAGACTGATTCCAAAAATCAGTAAAGACGATCCCCTCTTTGGTGTACTAACAGATGATGACGTGGGGATTGATGTTGTTTCTGGAAAACCAAAGATTGCTAAGGAGGTTTTAGATGAGATGAGACAATACTTATCTGTTTCTGATCCTCAAATGAAGAAAGTTAACATAGAAAGAGTTCGCAAGTCTGTATGGGACTTAGAAGGAGATTCAAAAGGTCAGAAAACGTTGCTGAGGTTAGAGGCTCCAACAAAATTTACCACTGATGTTGACAAAGACAAAGGACTAGTTTTCGATTTTTCTGGTGTCAATGAAGCAACTAGTAATAACGAAGGTTCGGTTACGTCTGCGGTACGTAAAGGAACAGCCATGACTCGTTTATCAGAACCTGTTCAATCGTCTTCTGCAACTTATGTCTCTGCTGCTCAATCTGAGTTTGGTTCTACGGATATTAGAGCTAGTTTTTCAGCTGGTTCTACCGGAACCAAAGTCAAAAATGGAAAGCGTAGAAGACGACCACATCAATGGGTGAGAAAAGCACAAGCAGTGAAGAAGGTTTTAGAACCTATTCAAACCGATCAAGACCTGGATGCTGGGGAGGGTTTCAAGTCAAAAAGGAAAGTTGTTGATGAAGCTATTGTATCATCAAAAATTGCCAAGCGTGATGAATTTAAGGTGGTTCCGAATGAGGAACCGCCGAGCCAAGTATGAGTTTTATGAGCTGGAATTGTCAAGGATTGGGGGGGACTTTGACAATTCCTACCTTGAGGGAGATGCGTCGTGAACATTTCCCGGATTTTCTGTTCCTCATGGAGACTAAAAACTCCAGTTCTCACGTTTTGAATTTACAAAGGTCTTTTGGATATGACTATGCTCATATTGTTGATCCAATTGGTTTGAGTGGTGGTTTGGCTCTCTTTTGGAAAGCAGCTTATGAGGTAGAGGTTTTAAGTGCAGATCATCGTATCATTGATATCAAAGTGAAATTGGGATCTCTCTCTTTTTTCATCTCTTGTGTATATGGTGACCCCATTTTTAATCGAAGACAAGTAGTATGGGATAGATTAATTGACATTGGTGTTTCTAGAGATGCTCCATGGATGGTTTTGGGTGATCTTAATGAGATCACGGATAATTCAGAAAAGCTAGGTGGACCAGCACGGGCATAATCTACTTTCTTTCCTTTCCGGAATATGATAAGTGATTGTCGTCTACGGGAGGTTCCTAGTCTTGGTAACAAATATTCATGGGCTGGAGAGCGCAACAAGATTTGGGTTAAATGCTGTTTAGATAGAGTGTTGGGTAATACAGCTTGGTTTCATCTTTTCCCAAGAGTGCAAGCTGAATTCCTGGAGCGAATAGGTTCAGATCACAGACCGGTTTTCACTAGATTCACCAATGAAAACATGTCTTGGAGAGGACGGTTCATGTTTGACAAACGTTGGTCTTCTAAACCGGCCTTTAAAGATGTTGTGAAGGCTGGTTGGTCTAAGGGCGAAGCAGCAGGCCAAGTTTCATTGATGAATAGGCTTGCGAATTGTAGAAGACATATATCTCTTTGGAAGAGACGGACTAATCAAAATTCCAAAGCTCGCATTACTGTTTTACGACAGAAGCTGGATGATGAGGGTACTAAGTTACAACCGGATTTTACCTTCATAAAGTCTTGCCGATGGGAGTTGGAAGAAGCCTACAGAAAAGAAGAATTATTTTGGAAACAAAAAAGCAAGGAAAGATGGTTACAGGAAGGAGATCGCAACACTAAGTTCTTCCATGGCAGTGTTCAAAGAAGGAGAGCTCAAAATCGTATTTTTTCACTCCTAGATAACCATGGCATAGAACAATTTTCTGAAGGTTCTAAAGGAGAGATTGCAGTTGAATATTTCAGGAAAATGTTTACAAGTACTAAACCCTCTACTATTTCTGAAGCGTTAGAGGGGATGACGGTGCGAGTTACAGATTCTATGAACACGTTTTTGACTCGGCCTGTCTCTGGTGATGAAGTAAAGAAAGCGGTATTTAGTATCAAAGGAGAGAGTACTCCTGGGGCAGATGGTATGTCAAGTTTTTTTTATCAAACTTATTGGGACACTGTTGGACCTCAAGTCATTGCTGAAGTCCAAGAGTTTTTTCGATCTGGTGTTCTTCCTGCTGAATGGAATTTCACTCAGATTTGTCTCCTTCCCAAAAAGCTTAATCCGTCTTCAATGTCTGATCTTCGCCCCATCAGCCTCTGTTCTGTACTCTATAAGATAGTCTCAAAGATTTTATGTAGTCGTTTAAAGCCGTTTTTACCAGACATTGTTTCTGAAACACAAGGAGCTTCTGTATCCGGAAGACTTATATCAGACAACATTCTGCTTGCTCATGAAATGATTCATGCTTTACAGTCCAGCAATACTTGTCAAGAAGATTTCATTGCCATTAAAACAGATATGTCGAAGGCTTATGACCGAGTGGAGTGGGATTTCTTAGAAGAACTAATGATTCGGCTTGGTTTTGATATTAAATGGGTTCAGTGGATTATGAGCTGTGTAAGATCAGTTTCTTTCTCGGTGCTTATTAATGGTTCATCTCATGGTTTCATCAAACCAGAACGGGGTATTCGTCAAGGTGATCCGTTATCTCCCTTTCTCTTTATTTTATGTGCTGAGGCTCTTGTGCATATAATGAATAAAGCAGAGATGGAAGGGATAATTTCTGGCCTGCACATTACTCCATCTGCTCCGTCAATACAACACCTTTTGTTTGCGGACGATAGCTTGTTTATTTGTCGAGCTACTTTCCAAGAATGTTCAGAGTTCCTGAAGTGTTTACAACTCTATGGATTAGCTTCAGGGCAAGAGATAAATTTTCAGAAATCTTCTATTACTTTTGGTAAGAAGCTTGATCCGATAATGAGGCATTTACTTAGTTCTTACACTGGAATTACTCAAGTAGGAGGTGCTGGAGAAGTATCTTATTCAGCAAGGAGCTTCTTGAAAGAGGTCTGATGAAGTCGATTGGAGATGGTTTGAATACCCGAGTGTGGATAGACAAGTGGGTTCTGGATGAGGAGCCACGGCGACCGCTTAATAAAGATCTTTTCCTTAATGTTTCTCTTAAAGTGGAGTCGCTTATAAATGAGCATGGTGAGTGGAATGTGCCTCGTCTAGAGGAGCTATTTTTCCCATGTGATGTGGTTAGAATTAGATCATTTCCGCCTCAACCTCGGTTACCTGACAAGGTGATTTGGGCTTACACTAGAGATGGCCGGTATACAGTGAAAAGTGGCCACTGGTTTTTGAATCATGAAGCAGAGAAGTGTAACATGCCTCCGGCCAATGTTCTGTTGTTGAATAAGACCAAAGAAAGGGTGTGGACAATCTTAAATACGTTTGTTTCTCTGGCGTGCTCTTTCTGGTGCTATTGCTGTTGCAGATTGTATGAGAAGTCATGGTTTGCAGGTTAATCTGTTGTGTCCAATTTGCCATTGTGAGGAGGAAACAGTTCCACATGTTCTATTTGCGTGTACTTTGGCGAATCGTGTTTGGCAAGCCTCTCTCCTTCCACTTCCAAGGAATGGATTCTCTTCTTCGGTGATGGAGAACCTTGATCATATGTTTGATTTGTTAGGTAACATTTCAATTCCAGAACAGAGACGTAAGGCTATACCGTGGCTACTGTGGGGAATTTGGAAAAGCCGGAACGATACTATCTTCTCTGCTAGAAACAATGATCATAACATACTTATTGCCTCAGCTTTGGAAGACTCTGAGGTTTGGTTTCATCAACAGAGTGTAATGATACAAGACACACAAGGCGTTGAGTGTAAGAGCAATCGTTTGGATACACGGTGGTTCAAACCTGCTCTTGGTCGACTCAAATGTAATCTCAATGCTTCGTGGGTGACGGATTCTTTCTTTTGTGGAGGTGCTTGGATCATAAGGAATCATGAAGGAAATGCTTTATTTCACGCAAGGGATGCTTTCGTTCCGCATATCAATAGAATCTCGGCTGAGCTTTCCTGCATTTTGTGGTGCCTTCGAAGTTTAAAAGATCTTCATATAATGTCTTGTGAAGTTTGGACAGATTGCAACGCGGTTTTAGCGGCTTTGGAATCACCATTGGAATGGCCGAAGTATAGAGCTCAGCTTGACAAGATTATACAAGTAAAATGTGGTATGGGGGAGATTTCATTTCACCTGTCATCTACAAAAGCTAATTCTTTGGTTAGAGAGATCGCGAGCAGTGTAACCAGGGACGGACGCTTAACTTCATACTTAGCCTTAGGCGGGCCGGCGTGGTTGCAGGAACGACTTATCTTGGATAGCCATTGAAGCTGGAAGGGCCACTTTGGTTTAATCGGTTAACTTGGTTGATTTGTTTTAAGTTTGTTTCCTTTGTTTTCTAAATTTTCTTCTCCTCTGTATTTCAAACTTTATTGGTCATTTTCATTCAATGGGAGAAAAAAAAAAACTAGTAGTCATTCAAAGCCTTAGCTTGGTTATCCAACCTTCGTATAGCAATGGGCTTTATTTAAGTCTTAGGTTGTAACTTCTCCTATCTATCTATCTATCTATACTATTAAAATATAAGCATTTTTTATAGGGGTAGCCAAACAGATTAAATAGAAAAAATGAAATAAAATGTAATCTTAAACCTATAGCCAAACATAATTAATGACAGATTTTCAAATGAAAAAAATATGCTTTAAAATAAATAAAAAATCAAAATTAATAACTAACCAATATTTATGAAATTCATAATAAATTTGTACCATAAAATGTGGCCTATTAAATTTGAAATTGTATATTTGTAAACATATTTTATATTTTCTAATATATTTTACCTAATTAAACTAATATATTTCAAAATATTATAATATTTCAATTTTTGAAACGTTTAAAATAAATTAATATTTCCGGATCTCTTATACATTCCCTTTAAGCATATTTTATAAGTTATTATTCCAAATATTCACATATTTGATGAAACCAAACCATTCTAAATATGAGTTACTAGATTTTAACCCACGGTACACCGTGGAGAAAACTTTAGTATGTTTTATTTTTTAATTCAGTTTTTTAAGTTATGCTGGAATTTGTTTAAAAATCATTTTGATTTGATATGTCGTATATTAGTTTTGTTAAAAAAATAGTATAATGAAGTTTTAACACGTTTTGAAATATAAGATTAATGATATTTTGGTTTACAAAAAAAAAAAAAAGAAAAAGATTAATGATATTTTAATATTTTAATAATACGAATCAAACCCATCTTTTCATACAGCCTGTGTATAAATATTAATTTTAAAACAAATAAAATTTGCAAAAATTGCTTCCATATATATTTTGCATAACAATATTAATCTGTTTTAACCAGTTTTCCAATATATAAAATTTAATAATTATTAATATTTCATAACACCAATATTAACTAAATCAGTTTGATTCTGCATGTCTTATATTGGTATTGTTAAAAATAGAAAAATGAAGATTTAACCAAGACTGAAATAACATATTAATTAATGATATTTTAATTTTTAATATTTAATATTGATTCATACAACTCGTCCTACATCATAGTTCGTTTGTATTATTTAAAATTTATTATTAAATTTAAATATATAGATTATAATATTTTAAACTTTTCAAAATTTTAAAATTGACTATATACGGAAAAATTAAACAATTTATCTAAAATCAAACTAATTGATATACAAATTTTAA